CCGAACTGAAACGTCAATGCGGCCGATCGTTGACAATCGTTCTTATGCATTAAATACACGAATGAATCCATGGGCACAATCACTTGGTTCCAGTGAATTTACATGATGTAATTTGTAGTAAAAAAGTAAAGCTGTGTAATTATCCATATAAAAATGAGTGACTTTTATTAAAAAAGACCTGTTCATTGTACAATGTGTAGGTTTGCTTTTATGTTTTACTTATGATCTCCATTAAAATTCCCGCCCCAATTAATATTCATGATTGAATGAATAAATTAGACCACCTCCATATAAAGACCACCTGTCTATAAAGGACAGTTTGGCTCAGTCCACTGACTGTCCTTTATAGACAGGTTTGACTGTACTACCGAATGCTCCCTTTGTTATTGTTAGTAAAGCAAAGCAGTGTGCATGGAGAATTTCACAGCTGTTTAATGAGATAACAAACTATGAAACAAATTGAGTTTTAGAAATTTAAATTGCATTTGTTTTCTAATTTAATAGAACAATCCTGCTACTGCAGTAATCGTCTTTTATTTATGTTTTCTTTTTCAACGAAATGCAGAAAATATAATACTGGGATGCTGTGAAAAACAATTATGAAAATCTTCGAGAAATTATTCCTTGATTACCTGCACGCACATTATTTTGATATTTTGTTGAAAAGTAACAGTAGGAGACAGTACACAAATGTCCATTCTTTGATATATAAATTAATAAACGCTGCTCGGACTGATAAATGTGATATATAGAAGATAATATTTGGTAACCGTAGTCCTAAATAACAATCCTGCTGGCAGTAATCGTCTTTTATTTATGTTTTTTTTCAACCAAATAGTTATTTAGGACTACGATTACCAAATATTATCGTCTATATATCAATCTTTGATATGTTGCTTATAATGACCAGTGCCAAGAATTTATAAAATAAATGTCTTACTTGTTTTTGATTCATGATCTCATTCTGTGTTTTTGAATGTGTCACGTGCAACTTTTACAATAAGACAGTCATAAAATCCAAGTACATGTATTAGAATAGGATGTCCTGCTAGCCTGTTCGCTTCGAAAATTGGAATTGAGATTTCTCTGCAAGTTTCGTAAAATGGTGGCTGAAACTTTCTAGAAATGAAATTGAACCTGAACTTCACTGATTGCGGCATATTACACAGCATAACTTGGTGATTTTGTTTAGAAAACGAGTAAAATACTTCCCGTCGCTAACACTGCTTTTGGAGGCAGCCATGTTGTGTACGCCCTCAACATCAAAATATGTCCAAAGCTTGAGTTCTCGATGTCAAAACTAGCGTATTTCATTCCTGCAGTTAAGCTTTTCCTAACCAAGCTATGCTGCACGGTGTCAAAGCTGTGATTTTCATTAAAAAGCTACACTTTCATTGGTACCCCTGTACCTTAAGTCATGAAATCTTAAAAATTCCTAGCATTGAAATATGAACGGATTACTGTAATTTACAGCAATGTGCTAACCTGGATTCTATTATTCACTTTCAGGGTACGTACAAACTCCCATCAAGTGACATAGAAATACCAGAAATACCAAATATACCAGAATGGCTGACTAATGGTGAATATCAAGCCACGGCAACACTCAGTAACCAAGGCAAACGATTAGCTTGTTACACAGCACAGTTGTCCATCAAGGCCGACTAGGACAACATTGGATCAATTTTGTGTTTAAATTTTCAGACCTAGGAATATTTTATAATTTTCTGTAAGAACTGTGAATAAAGTCCATCATTTTACATAAATTACTGCATGAAGACTGGGACTTCCTTTTTGTTTT